GCCCTAACCTACCAATAAACCCCTTAAAGAAAAAAAAAACGACCTTTTATGTAGCACCTGTCAAGATAAAAGTAGGTGGTAGGAGGTGTTTCACAAGAAAAAGAAATTTAAAATAGAAAACATATTTATGAAAATTTATTTAAAATATGTTTAAATTGAGAAAAAAAATAAAATTGTGATTAAAAATTGTAAGGAAAAGCAGAGAGAAAATGAATAGGAAAGAGGGAATTTAATCATGGGAAAGGTGGAAAGAGCAAAATAAAGGGAGGATTGTGATGAAGGTCACCCAAAAGCCATCTTGAACAGGTGAGTTTTCAGCTTTTTAAAGGAGTCCGCTGATCTCAGGCTCAGGGGATGAGAGTTCCAGAGTCTGGGGGCCACAGCAGCAAATCTGTCACCTTTAGCCTGGTGCGTTGCCCAACCAGTAGGCTTAGATCACTGGACCTCAGGGACCTGCTGGGGTGTAGGCACTGAGAAGATCACCAATCTATGATGGTGCTTGTCTGTGTAAGACCCTAAAGAAATGAACCCTGAAGGTGACTGGCAGCCAGTGGAGGAGAATTGGGGTGATGTGGGTGTATTTGGAGGATTTGATCAGAAGCTGAGCACAGGCATTCTGAACCACCTGTAGACGGTTCAGGGAGGTTCTGCTCAGACAAGTGAAAAGAAAGTTTTGTGGGACAGAATGGGACTCAGCTTAGCAATGTTCCTGAGATGGAAGAAGGAAGACCGAACAAGAGAACTGACATAAGAATCCAGGGTGAGGGCTGGGTCAAAGGTCACACCGAGATTCATGACAGAGAGTTTGGTGTGAGAAGAAATCCAAATGGTCCAAATGAACAATGACTTGGATGACTGAGAACCTTCACCAGCATATGTGAGAAAAAAACTGACCAAGATAGACTCTGACTTTGAGACCTAGCTTGTTTTGATCTCAGTCTTATCTTCATTCAGCTGTAGAAAGTTCCCAGCCATCCAGGTTTTAATAGTCTAAGCAGGTGTGTAACAGCTGCAGGTTAGATATCTCACGGGGCCTAAAGGAGATGTACAGTTGGATGTCATCTGCATAAAGATGGTAGGAGATTCATTTAAAGGAACTCAGAATGTGCTGAAGAGGAAGCTGATAGAGGAGGAAGAGTCGAGGCCCCAGCACAGAGCCTTGTGGGACACCATGGGTGAGGGAGGTGGTGGAGGACCGAAACTTGGAGACAGACACAGAGAAGTAATACTCAGACAGATAAGAGTAGAACCACTCCAGAGCTGTTCCTGATAGGCCTACCCAGTCTCTCAGCCTATCCAGTAGCAGATGAGGGTCAGCAATGTCAAAGTTGCAGCTGAGTGTCAAGCAGGGAGGCATTGGGTTCCCCCCTCCCTTTTTTTTAAGTCTTTGGTATGACTTGACTGGGAATTGAGCCTCGATCTCCCAGTCCCAGGGCAGGCACTCTATTAGGCCACTGAGAAAGTGACCCTTTGTAATGTTAATGAAATGTCACTCAGACCCCCACCGCCTCCTGTGGCCAGAATACAACATTTGCACTTCATACTGGTGGGCCGCTCTCTTTAGCTGACATACCTGGCGCGGCAGCCAGGTTCCAGCACATTTCCTGGATGTTTTAGATCATGAACACAGTTGAACTTTAATTTAAGTGAGGAAGTGCGCACGGCTTGGGGGGCCACAAAGAAGGGCCTCGCCGGCCGCCTATTGATTACTGCTGCACTAGGGGGTTCTAAAAAGCAAGCAAAACTGCCTAGTGTGTCTTTAAGAACCCAAACTCTTAGAGAATACTAAACAGAGGAAATGGGCCAAATAGAAGACAATTTCAGGGGGGATAACGTGGAGAAAAAAATGTGTTTAAAGAATAACTAAACCCCAAAATAAAATGTTTTGCTTATGAACTGTATAACTGGGTCTTTACAAATGCAATCTTTCTGTTTCTGTGCATTTTTGACGCGTTTGTTTAAATTTGATTAAATCTAGAATCTAGGTCTAAAAACATCTTAGTGCTGTCCCCTGTGGCAGAACAGCGGCTACTGCGTTTTATACTTGTGATTGGCTGGGGCTGGAACAATTTCACGTCATCGGTACAGTCTCCTCCCACTCCCCCGTCGTGTTCTCTGTCCCTTTGGTCCCCAGCCCCCTCCAGGTGTCCCCTCACATTCTGTGTCCTTGCAGCCCCCAGCCCTTTTTGTCCCCGGCTCAATCCAGGTTTTCCTCAGGTTCTCTTAGTCTCCCCACTGTAGTTTCTATAGGTTTATTATTTCAGTTCCTTAGTCTCCTTTCCTTAGTCTCCTTTAGTGTGTGTGTTCCCTTCCCCAGTTAGATCTGGTTTCCTCCCCTGCTCCGTTCTGCTCCTCCTCTCTGTTATTAGTTTCACCTGTACCCAATTCCCCGCGCACCTGCCCCTCGTCTTCTGTCACTCCAGCCCTGCGTATATAACCCTGTCTGTGTCTCCAGTATTTGTCGGTTCATTGTCTTATGTCAGCGTTGCTTTGTCCCCTACAGCTACAGACCTATAGATCCTGGCTCATGAGTGAGCTTTTGTTTTTTGCCTATAGAACTTTAGATTTTTGACATAGTCCTACAGTCTTTGTTTTCTGAGTTCTCATCCTAATAAAAGGAGTTTTTTTATTTAAACGACCTCTCCAGCCGTGAGTACTGTGGTGTTCTGTGTCTTGGGTCCAATCCTCCTGCGCTCGCAGCGTGACAAAATGAACCAACCCACCCGCATGAACCCAGCAGACCCCGCAGCTACACCTTGGTACCCAGACAGGTATTTCGGCGACCCGGCCACCTGCAGGCAGTTCATTCGGGACTGTGCTCGTTTCCTTGACCTGGCTTCCTCCGAGTTTGATAAGGTCTCCTTCATGGTGCTCTGTCTGGGAGGAAAAGCTCTGCGGTGGACAATGTTCTACTTCGAGCAGTACCCTACAAGAACTGTTTTCTTTTGGGGCTTTGCTAAGGAGCTACAAGAGACTTTCTGCTACCCACAACCACCTGCCGAACTCACCACCCCACCTTCATCAGGTCCCGGCAGCGCCACCTCCTCATCTCTGGTGGGCTGTCTTCCCTCATCATCCTCTGGTTCAGCCGGTGCCATCTCGGCAACTCTGATGGGCCGAACCACCACACCCTCATCCGGTCCTGACAGCTCTACCGCCTCCTCTCTGGTGGGCTGTCCCTCGTCTTCCTCTGGTTCTGCCGGTGCCATATCGGCACCTCTGATGGGCCAAACCACCACACCATCATAGGTCCCGACAGCGCTACCTCCTCACCTCTGGTGGGCTGTCCCTCATCGTCCTCCGTTGCTACCGGCGCCATCTCTTCACCTTTGATGGGCCGAACCTCCTCTCATCGATGACGTTGCAACCTTCGCCAGAAGTCTCCTGAGGTCAGAGCAGTATCGGCTGTCCATGTGCTTTCTGCCCTGACGCCTTAGCCCGAGCTCCACCTGACACCATCGCCAGCTCAGCCCGATCCCCTCCGCTTCCCGGAGATCAGAGTTGGTCAGCCCTTCCAAGAGGCTCCGCCTGAAGCGCTTCCACCTGTCCAAGAGGCTCCGCCTGCAGTGGTTCCGCCTGCCCAAGAGGCTCCGTCTGCAGTGGTTCCGCCTGTCCAAGAGGCTCTTTCCCCGGCCCAGCTGGTCAGAGAGTCCTCGTCTTCGCCTGCAGAGGCCATGTCTGCCGCAGGGTCTACGTCTGCTGCAGAGTCTACATCTTCAGAGTCTACGCCATCAGATTCCAGGTCTGCAGTGTCCTTGCCAGCAGCGTCTCCAGAGTCCCCTCTTCAGCCTCCAGTGTCCCCTCTTCAGCCTCCATTGTCCCATCTTCAGCCTCCATTGTCCCCTCTTCAGCCTCCAGGATCCCCTCTTCAGCCTCCAGAGTCCCCTCTTCAGCCTCCCATTTCTCCGTCCCTTCCTCCAGAGTCTCCGTCCCTTCCTCCAGAGTCTACCTCCCCTCCAGAGTCTACGTCCCCCTGCCATCCTCCAGAGTCCCTCCATCGTCCTCCTCTAGAGTCCCTCCATCGTCCTCCTCCAGAGCCCCTCCATCGTCCTCCTCCAGAGTCCCTTCACAGTCCTTCTCCAAAGGCTTTGTTCCCTTGTCCTTCTCCAAGGTCTTCGTCCCCTCATCCTCCTCCGGTGTCTTTGGCGTCCCATCTGTCCCCCAGAGCCAGATCCCGGCTCCTGGTTCCCCGTCGCCGGCCCCCCAGACTCTCCAGGTCCCGGCTCCTGGTTCCCCATCGCCGGCCCCCCAGACTCTCCAGGTTTTTCGGCTCCAGTTCCCTCCGGGGTTTCTCTGGGTTTTTTGGTGGGATTTTATGTTTTCTGGCCCTCCTCGCCCGCCACCTTTGGTTGGTCTTGTGTTTTGCCCCCTGGGGTTTTTAAACCTGAATATAAGACTCTAGAAGAAATGGGCTGTGATGCCTGTGTCGCCAAAGGTTATGAAAGATTCTTTCACTGTCCTGTGAAGAAAAATACTCCTTGTCTTTTCAAGTAAATTTAATGTGAGTTCATGACTCTGCAACAACAACATTTCTCCACACAGAAAGGTAGCAGCTGGGATTCAAACCTGCAGCTTTTTGCTGTGAGGCAACAGTGCTACCATGTAGCTTTTACATTATATTTAAAGAAAACATTATTCATTGAAAGCTACTGAAAGGTTAAAAAGCCTTTTAATCCATTAAAACTTTTTTCATAACACCTTAAATCTTTTGTGAGTTTCATATTTCAGGGTTAAGTTCCCACAGTTTGTCTCATAAATGTGGCTCTTAGAAGGTTAAGACGTATTTAAACAGTTGACTCAGTGATCATATCTAAAGTTTGTTTCGTAATCACTTGTTTGCAAATGAGGACACTGATCTCCAGTATAGATAAGGAAGCTGTTCTAGCTAGATCACAAAGAACTCATCAATGAAACAAAGGTCCAATCTGTGATTTAATCATGTGGTTCGTTGTCTCTGATCCTGGCCTCCAGGTGCAGTCATAGAGAGTTTGAAAACCTCAGGATCTCAGGTGATATGGTTCTTCTTGGTGTCTTTAAGCCATGGTAAGCTGGGACGGTGAACAGATGAGTGGGGAGCAGCTGGGATGATAGTTGGTTCCTCCAAAAAAGGATAAAGGTGGAACGCTCCCTCAGAGTTGGAGGTGAGTCTTTGACAGCAAGACAATATAAAAAGTATTAAAAACGGATCAAAGTGACATTAAACAAGAATGATACATAACCAGAAATTGTATAAGTTTTTAGTAAAGGGAATTTTTTACAAGAGAGTTTTACTTCTTGGAAATGGGGGTAAACAAAGTTGAGCAAGATCGAGGTCCTCAAAGATGATGTGGAAGGTGGAAAACCCATTTATTTCGTCTCTCAGAAAATGGTTTTCATTGTTTTTGTTTTTTTGTTGTTAAATCACCATTACTGGTGCAAGAGCTGAACATGATAATCAATGACATGAGTTCATTGTTTCATTGGACAGTTGCTTGTTCCAGAATCTTTCATAAAATGGATTTTGACCTGTTGTTGTTAGCTTTTCCTGTCAGGCCAATCATTGACTAGTAGCTGTCCTTTCTGTAAGTACCTAATAGAAGTAGAGGGACATCTGAGTTCCAGTAGATGATGAGCTGCTGGTGGACTGTCAACAGCATGGACCCGTTCAAGGCAACGTTTCTTCTGGGAGCCTTTCTTTGCTCTGGTAAGATGCAATAACACGTATAAAAGGTGCTTATAAACATATCTGTAATTATGCTTGCTGTAGAAAAAGACTGTCTAATCTGAAGAGATTCCAACCTAAAGATCACAAAATAACCTGGAATCTGACTTGAAAAAACTTGACATCTTTTGAATGTTCTAATGTTAATTTTGTAAATGACCACGTACTATTCTTGAATTCAGTTACAAGTTCTGTTCAACTGATTCAGAATTATTGTGGGTTGACCTGAATGGAAAGAAACGTTTGGTTCACAAATTGATGACCACACCTCACATGTTGATTAACATTCTATCTGTCACCAGTCGGGGGTACCGAGGTGGACGGCTACGCTAAAACTGAGGGGGCGTGGGTGCTTTCGCTGAACAAAAGACAGTATACAGTCAACACTGTGGCTGAGTGTGCCACCAAATGTGACACTGAAACATCTTTCCTCTGCAAGTAAGTTGATGCTTCTTTCTCCGATGTCTTCCATCTACACTGTTAATCAAAGCCTGACTTGGTATTTACTTCTGCAGGGCATTTACATATGTAGAGAAGGACCAGGAATGTTGGACAGCAGCATCAAACTCAAAAACGGAGCTTGTCCTACGCCGGCGAAGCTCAGCTTTATATGAAAAAAACAGCAAGTCCATTTTTATAAAGTTTTTCAACTCTTTTCCTCTAATTTGTAATGGTATTTTGTTGTTTTAGTGACACAGTAGTTAATGTTTAGCTCGTGGTGTACCAGCAGTGGTTTTTGGACTGGCTGCAAACAAAGCAGAGATGAATTACAAGTTAAACACATTTGTTTTGGTTTTCAGAATAAAAGCCTTGTGTTTGATCAGTCAGGTGAGTTTGTATAATCACTGCTTCTTTTTTGTCTTTTCTAGAATATCTTTTGGAGTGTGTGAATGGAACAGGAACAGATTACAGAGGAACAAAGAGCAGAACAAAATCAGGAACGCTGTGTCAGAGATGGGCTTCAAGATTCCCACACAAGCCCAAGTAGGTATCACTTCACATTTGATTCCTAAATTATTTTCATCAATTTTGTAACTTTTGTAAACATTTCCGTCGCAGCTACACACCAGACAAAAATCCACTTGCAGATTTGGACTCCAACTTCTGCAGAAACCCTGACGGGGACATAAATGGACCCTGGTGTTATACCACTGACCCAAATACTCGCTGGGAGTCCTGCAACATACCCAGCTGTACTGGTGAGATTCATGTATCTATAACAGTTGATACTGAGTTGATTCCAAACTTCTGAAGACAACCATCTTCATCAAGATTCGACAGCTGTTGTTTGAAAGTTTTGTGGAAGGCCAACCAATGAAAGCATTGATTAAACTACAAGTGTACGGTGACCAAAACAAAAGCAGTAAAACTGGTACAGTGAACTACAAAAACACTGAAACTAGAAAGCTAACAGAAGTTCAATAGGTGATTGAGCAGAAAACTAGAAGTGGCTGGTGACCAGTGGTGGTGAGGGATTGTGGCATTACAAAAGGAAAGGTAACACAGAATTTCTAGTTACAAGAAAACAATACTAAGTTTGCATAATGTGCCACACAAGGTAAAATGTAAGATGAAAACTAAAGCAGTTAAACTAGTACAAGGAACTACAAAAAGTAAAAATAAACTAGGGGGAAAAAACTGAGATAATGTAAACCACAACAGTAAAACTAGTAAAGGGAACCACACATCTGCTTGTGAGCTACAACTAAAAAACTCTGTTGTGAAAGCTGGGAAGGAATGAGGGAGAAAACACATGAGCGCAGACTCAGACACAACATTAGTCCACAAGTAGTAGGTGGGAGGAGCTGGGATCCCCCTCGCAGCTGAGAGAGCATACAGCATCTAGTGTGCGTACTACTGCTTACGGGTGTGAAGGAGAGGAATGGAGAGTGCAATGAGTCCTTGAAGATTCCATGGTCACGCCCAGATCACCAGTTGACCAACCAGATACGTCACAATTCCAAACCAGGATTGAAGGAGGAAAGGTTTCAAAGCATCTGTCAGCATTCACGCTGTGGGAGATTTCCTCAGTCTCTGCTGGTCTCAAGCTCCTCCAAACACCCCAATAATGAGGTATAATTCCCTTCATACCATGCAGTAACTTCCTCGATGATGGCATCCATCTTGTGTGCCAACACAGGAATCGCATCTGGCTTGCAATTCATCTTGAACTACGACAGAGCAAATTTTGTATAGCTTTTCTTTTTGTTTTAAACTTGGAGTGCTACAGCGATGACCCTTTTGCCCTTGCCTTTTCTTAATTGCTGAATCATGACTTTTGACCTGAGTGCAGCCAGTTTGCACCCAACTGGTACAAAACATAAACCACTGGGTACAATTTGACCAGCACTTGCTAAACAGCACTTTACTACCCAAAGACTTAATTTGCAATGTCTTTATTTTCAAACCTTTTGCAGAGGAGTGTATGTACTGCAACGGTGAGGACTACAGGGGAAAAATCTCCACTACTGAGAACGGTTTCACCTGCCAGCGCTGGGACTCCCAAGAGCCTCATAACCACGGCTACAACCCAACTGCGTAAGTAAAACAGAAATGGAAAACATCAGGATTTCACAATTCCAGTTATCCAATGTTGAACCAAACTGAGTGTTTATGCTGATCTGTTTTTAGTCTTCCAGACAAGTTTCTGGAAGAGAACTATTGCAGAAACCTGGATGGAGAACCTCGACCCTGGTGTTTGACCACCAGCCCGTCTAAACGATGGGATTTTTGCTCCGTTCCCCGCTGCAGTGAGTTTAATGTCTATTTGATGATTTCAACTTGCATTCTATTTTATTGCTGTAAATGTTTTCAAATTCACGTACATGTTTAAAAATGTATGATACAAGTTTCAGCATTAAAAGTTTAAATACAAGCTACCTGTCTGTTGTTTGAGCTGTTAGAGCAAACTTTGTATGGGCAGCAGTAGCTCAGCAGTTAGAGTGGGTTGTCCAGTAATAGGAACGTTGTAGGTTCAATCCTGGCTCCTGTCGGAGATTAATACTTTTTTATGCTTGGGCTTAATCCACCTTGCCTGGTGGTGGTTGGAGGCACTGGTGGCTCCAGTGCTCGGCAGTCTTGCCTCCGTCAGTGCGTCCAAGGGCAGCTGTGCCTACATTATACCTCATCATCACCAGTGTGTGAATGGGTGAATAACTGATTGTGTTGTAAAGTGCCTTATTGGGTTGTAGAATCCAAAAAAGGCGCTATACGAATACAGGCCATTACCATATTTGTAGAAGTCATGGTTTGGTTTTGGACCAGAAAGCAGACTCAAAGGTCCAAATGTTGTATTTTCGCTTGCATTGATGGTTGAGGAGCAATGCTTGAGATGTGACTTCAGCTGTTAAAGGTTATAAATTCTTTAAGTTAGAGAAGTTGATCCGGAGTGAGATAGTTGTGGTTTTGAGTAAACCTAAACAAGTGTTAAAAGGGAGTTTTCCTCTCCACTGTCGCTAAGTTCAAGGAAGGTTTTGTATCATGTGGAAGTCTAAACCACAAAGATTGCTGTTTTGCCTTTAGGCTTCACTAGAATCCTTGGTAGAGAACAGAGAGCACGGCCATTTCTTGTTCTTGAGTTCTGCATACTACCTTCCAGCCTCTGCACCGGAGCTTCCCACCGTCGCCCCTGAGCTGACCTGTATGACTGGGGAAGGTAAAGCGTACCGCGGGACAGTCGCTGTAACTCAGAGTGGTAAACCATGCCAGAGGTGGTCGGCTCAGATGCCACACCCTCACAATCGCACGCCAGAAAACTACCCCTGCAAGTATGAAATGATCTACGTATGAGTGAATGAATCAAATACAATGATTCAGTCAGTATAATCTAATACATTTGTTTATGTTTTTAATTTGTCAGAGGCTTAGATGATAACTACTGCCGTAACCCTGATAATAAGAAGCGGCCCTGGTGTTACACCACAGACCCTGAAACCCGCTGGGAGTTCTGCAATGTGACACGTTGTGGAAACACACCTGATCCAGGTACAACAGAAGCTTCTTAGGATGTTTATTTGTTTAACTGGTTTCTTCTACTTCAATCTTTATAGCAAATAAAAACATGTTTGAGGCTGTTTTGGATGGTAACATCCCTTTAATTTCCCTCTCCAGATGAACTCCTTGGCTGATTGCAATTAAAGCCGTCTGTGATTTTTCCATTTTAAAGACATCTGATTGCCATATTAAGTATTAAAAATAAAGTAAACGGGTTTGCATTTCTATAGGTTTTGAAGTGGTCCTTAAAAGCAACACAAGCCAAACTAATTATACGTCAAAGAAAAAGTATAAATGCAATATAATATATTTTTTTTGGAATGCCACTTTTCCTTCTGTTTTGTATGAAAACCGTCAGATTACTGTCTGTCTCTGCAGACGAGGCAGTGATCCCCACTGAAGAAGATGACTGCTATGAGGGCAACGGTTCCAGTTATCGAGGAATAACATCAGAGACTGTCAGTGGAAAAAAGTGCCAAATGTGGAGCTCACAAACTCCTCACCAACATCAAAAGCGTCCAGAAAAATTTCCTGAAGCGTACGTATACTCAGGTCATGAATTAAGCAGATCTTTATTTTTGTTCTTTTAATGAAGACGATAAGAAAATAAGTTATAGGATACTTTGGTGTCTTCTCTCTGCATGCTGAGAGGAATTAAAACAAAAACAAAGCATCCTACAGCAGTGAGAGAATAAAATCTTTGTTTTGATGAATAATTTGTTTTGTGTTTTTGGTTTGAAAACTGCAGGATATGAAAACAGACAAAAATGTGACGTCTCGAAATAAAAAAAACTAAGGGTGTTTGTGGCATCTTTTAATCAGCACTTGGAATGATTGTTGACATGATGGCCAGCAGAGATCAGTATAATTCTTCTGGTTTGATCCCAGGAGTAAAAAGAAAAGGTATTGCTGATGTCTGCTACCCTTCTTGTTCTCTTTCCACAGGGACCTCAGGAGGAATCTGTGCAGGAACCCAGATGGAGACCAAGCTCCTTGGTGTTACACCATAGATCCCAAAGTCCGCTGGGAGTATTGCAACTTGGAGAAATGCTCTTCCAATGCCCCAAACGCTCCAATTCCAACTGCCCCTGGTCCACAGACCACCCAGAGTCCAACAGAGAAAGGTCCAACTTATAAAGCCAATTTTAGTCACTTGAAAACCTCATTCTCTTGTAACACTTTTTGCTGTTTCAGACTGCAAGGTTGACAATGGAGTGACTTACCGAGGTCCAACCTCCATCACGCAACTTGGTGTGACTTGTCAAGCGTGGAGTTCCCAGACTCCTCATGAACACAATAGCTTCACACCACAAAGTCACCCAGATAAAGGTCTGGAGGGCAATGTGAGTATGTGTAAGCACATATATAACATGCTTTATGTAAAAAAAAAAAAACACAGACCTTTTACTGGTTTTCTCTTATTTAATAAAATTGTCCTTAAATCACCATCAGAACTGCAGAAACCCAGATAACGATGCCCATGGACCCTGGTGCTACACTACTGACCGTAACAAGAAGTGGGACTACTGCCAGATCCCTGATTGTGGTATGTAACCAAAAACATCCTCCTCAACTTGAGTAAAGCCTTCAACTCCCTTCCCTTCTGGCGTACCTCAAAGCCCGGTACATGGACCTCTCCTGTTCACCATTTATTTCCTCATCTATCTCAAGCCTTTTTCTGCCATCATCTTAAATTTTAAGCAGCATTTATGTTAATGTCACTCTTGGTAAAAACTACCTTTTCAGGAGGGTTAGAGACCCACATGTCCGCAAGTTGCAGACCTGAGTAGACGAGAAATGACAGAATCCAAATGACCCTCTCATTTAATTATTAAAAAGATTTCATGGCTGCTGACAATTTTATTTTTTATGCTTTTTGAGATTTCAGGTATTTAAATAATACATAATAACAAAATGAGGAGTCTAATCTCTGTAAACTTTTGTTACAGCTGGAATGAACTGTGGGTCACCAGCAATCAAACCCAAGCGCTGTTTTGGTCGTGTTGTTGGTGGCTGCATATCCCGACCTCATTCATGGCCCTGGCAAATCAGCCTCAGGACCAGGTTAGTAGAACAATGAAATACAAAGTAAACAAAACTTTTAAACAAGTTGAAGGTTTAGATGAAGCTAATTTTTTTGATAACTCTGAAAGCTCACCTGGATCAAAATGGTTCAAACACAGATGAGGTTCTACAGTTACCTCTGATGCTGCCTCACTTACTGAGGAAGAAGAAATCGCATTAGGGAGGATGCTAATGATTTTGTTTCTAATAGAATTAATTTTACTCTGCTTGAACACTGTTGCTAACCACTTAAACATTCTCCCTCTCCTGATAACACTTTACTTTCTTTGACGTTGAATGTGCTACAACTAGTTTACCCGTTTAATTATAGATTCACTAGGATAAATACAATAAAGTTTATTTCTCACCAAATAGAATATTTACTAAGAAATCACAATGTAACCGTAGAAACATTACTTGGTATATATGTTGTGTGTGTGGGTGGGTTGGTGTTGGTGTATGCGTGTGTCTGCTCTGTCTTGATCCCCAGTGAATTGTGGTAGATGGCTGCTTATACTAAGTCAGGATCCTCTGGAGGTTTCTTCCTGTTAAAAGGGAGTTTTCTTCTCCACTGTCGCTAAATGCTTGCTTAGTATGAGGATTGCTGTAAAGTCACTGACACTAGTCAGTGACTTGAGGCAATTTGCTGGGTTCCTTATATAGCAAACATTTTACTGATTGGCTTAATGAACTGACCTGTATTGGAATGTTTACTATGTGAAGGGCCTTGAGATGACTCTTATCGTGATTTGGCGCTATATAAAAAGAATTGAATTGAATTTTAATTTTAGCGTTTGTGTAAACTTAACAATTTAGCATTAATTTAAAAAAATCCACTCAGTTGTTTTGTTTATTGTGTTGTTAATCAGTTCAGGAACCCATTTCTGTGGAGGAACGCTGATTCATCGTCAGTGGGTTCTCACTGCCAAACACTGCCTGGAAAGGTCAGAACTTGGTCATCTTAAATAAAACACATTTAAAGGGCAGATAGTTAAACACTGGAGGACTGGGACATGTGTGGTTAAAAACTGTTCTGTTGCCACAGGTCCATCCGTCCCTCGTCATATCAGGTAGTCCTGGGAATCCACAGAGATGCAGCAATGGAGACGACTAAACAAGTGAGGCGACTGGAGAAATTGGTGCTGGGACCGGATGGAGCGGACATTGCTCTGCTCAAACTGGACACGTTAGTACAGCTCAAACTATCTGTACAGATGTATGAAATATGTACACAGAGTATGGGGTTATGCCTGTTTTTCTTTTATTTAAATATAAAAATTACTTTCGTGTCAAATTTTTAATGATCTTGACAAATGGTTCTTTAAGATTACTAAAGATCTTTTTGTGCTTTGTTTTAGTTTTCAGTTCAGTTATTTAATCTGAAAATGATTGAATATTGTGGTTGAAAATACGAAAAGTATACAAGTAGAAGGCAAAAGAAGTGAGAACAAGTTGTGTCTTTAACAAGCTCCCAGATCCCCAGACCTTCTTCTTCCCAGCTACCTCCTGTAGCTCATCCAGAGGAACTCCAAGGATGGTCCCAGCTGTGAGATGTGATCTCTTCAGTGATCCCTTAGTCTGCCCTGACATACCCTGCTGGTGGGACTTTTCTGTAATGCCTCCATTGGAAGGTGTCCAGATAAAATCCACAGCAGATGCTAGAACCACCTCAAATGGCTCTTTTCGACGTGGAGGAGCAGCACCTCTATTCCGAGCTCATTCCAATTAGCTGAGCTCCTCACCCAATACCTGGGGGTGTATTGCTCTCTGACCAAACAGATAATTTACCACAACAGATCAGTACAGCATCTGAATCATTCAAATATCTCCGAGGCTCCAGATGTCTTAAAGTAACACCAAATAGTTTTTTAAACTTTAAGCTAGCGCTTCAACATTGATCTCCGTGATTGTCGGGCCAGAAGCTATTTCATATTTTACACCACTTTGCAGCTCTCTGCTGGCCAGATATTTTACCTAACAGTTTTGTGGAGGGGGTAGGTGTTCTAGGGGGTGCTCTTTTACATGCATTATGGCTGTTAGCATTGCTTTCTTACTTTTACTTCCAGGCTCTGCCATGATGCCAACAAAAAAACAACTTTTTTCTTCTTGTGCTTTTTATTGATGATCAGCAAACTGAAAAAGTCAACAGCACAGAAAATAGCTAACAGCCAACAGCCATAAAGCATGTATGAGAGCACCCCCTAGAACACCTACCCCCTCCACAAAACTGTTAAGTGGCCAGCAGAAGGTTGCAGAGTGGTGTCAAATATGAAACTGGTCAAGTTTCTAACTCAACAATCACTGAGTTCAATGTTAAAGCTCTCACTTAAGGTTAAAAAAAGATTTAGTGTTACTTAAAATCTGTGAGGAAACACAAGTTGCTGATGCTCACATGTATTTTTTGTGTTTTCAGGCCTGCTGTGATTAATGACCAGGTGCAGCTCGTTTGTCTGCCAGATAAAGACTACATTGTTCCCAGTGGAACTGAATGTTACGTCACTGGTTGGGGCGAAACTCAAAGTATGTCATAAAATGTGTTTTTAGGACTGTTAAAATTTGCCTTCTTCTTGACAAATGCTACAGGGTGAAATGAATTCAATTCAATTCAATTCAATACTTCATTTCACTCAAAGTTTAAATATACAAACTTCAAATCAGAATATAAGCATTCGAGTGAAATAGGGGGAGGAAGAAGAAAAAATCTTATATGACCTACCCCCTTTAACTAAGACAAGATAAATAACAAAAAGTACAAAATAGCCTTATACACAAAAAATAAACCACTCTCTTACTTCCACAAATAATATCACTACTAAAACATTAATCCTCCATCCTCAACTTACCAAATCATACGTTTTTAGCATTTTATCTTTATACATTTTTTTGAATTGATCAGTAGTTGTACATTTTTTAATTCATCATCCAGGTTATTCCATAATTTCACACCATATATTGAAATACACATTTGCTTTAATGTAGTACGGACAAATATCCTTTTAAACTCTGGTTTCTTTCTACTCTTATCATTTTTTGGGATTAAAACAAAGAACCTTTGTAGATTAGTTGGCAGCAAATTATTTCTAGCCTTAAACATAATTAGTAAAATTTTCAAGTTAACTAAGTCTTTGAATTTCATAATTTTAGATAGAACAAAATATTTGTTAGTATGTTCTCTTGGATTTGCTTTATATAGAATTCGCAAAACTTTCTTCTGTAACAGAAACAAAGGATTAGTGTTTGTTTTATACGTATTGCCCCAAACCTCAATACAATAAGTTAAGTATGGTAAGATAAATGAATAATATAATGTCTGAAGTGTTGAAATTTCTAGAAAACCTTTGACTTTGTTTAAAATTCCAATACTTTTGGATATTTTTTGTTTTATATATTTTATATGGGATTTCCAAGTAAGTTTATGGTCCAAGAGAACCCCTAAGAATCTGACTTCATTTACTCTATCAATTAAAAAACCATCAATAGACAACGTAACTAAATCATTAGTTTTTCTGTTACCAAAAACCATGAATTTTGTTTTATTCCAATTGAGAAATAATTTATTGTCATTAAACCACTTCTTAAGTTTAGACATTTCACAAACCATATTTTGAATAATAATTTCTAAATCATTTCCAGAACAAAATATATTCGTGTCATCAGCAAACAGTATGAACTGTAATACTTTGGACGCATCACAAATGTCATTTATATAAAGAATAAAAAGCTTAGGGCCCAACACTGACCCCTTCATGAACAATTAGGAAAATATTATTGTGCAGAAAGAGAAAATGAAGATACATTTATTTTCAAATGAATGCTGTTGACTTGAAGTTCAGCTGAGACGAAAACGAACAAATTTCCAGTAAATAATGTATGTCGTAAAATAAGACTATTTTGTTTTGAATGACATTTAATTAAGAAACATAACTGCTGACATTCCAGTAAATTGAATGAAGAAGAGAAACTTTGGATGACAAAGCAATTTTTTTAATTTAGTGACATCCCAGCAATCCTTGTTTTACATGTGTATCTGTGCTGATGGTGACTAGGGTAAACAGTACTGAGGTGTGTTACAGACACTGGAGGTGAAGGCTACCTGAAAGAAGCTGGCTTCCCTGTAATTGAGAATAAGATATGCAACCAGCCGTCCTACCTGAACGGCAGAGTCAGGGACCACGAGATGTGTGCAGGACACATCAACGGAGGAGTCGACAGCTGTCAGGTATGGAAGCACAACCGCCTGGGGTTGATGTCTTGGTGTTTATTTATGGAATAGCTTTGGGACTTTTCCATCAATTATAACTTAGTAGGTGAAAATGAATTACATTGAAATGAAACCATTAAGCACAAGATTACAATTAAAATGGTTTTCTTTCTTGTCATGTGAAGAATTCCTATAGTTGAATCAAAACCAGACTTTGAACACAATGCTATTTTTGGGACTTCATGAAAAAAATAATTCTTACATTTTCTAATTAAAAAATGTGTGTTCCACTCAATCATTCCAAGACTGACTTCCATATTTGATCTCTTGTGCACTGCACATTTTATTTCTTGATTTGCAATCTAAACCTAAAAAAGAAATCTGAAAAAAACAATGAAAATAAGATTTAAAATGAGCTTTTTATCTTTTATTCAAACCTTATTTAGGCAGGAAGATCTCATTGAGATTTTAAGCCTTTATTTCAAAGGAGCCCTGGACAAAACAGGCAAAGGTTACAAAAGTTACTACACAGCTACAATTCAAGTGAATGCCTTTTCAAAAGTTTAAAGCAACAGTATTAAGTTATTAAATCTTTATCTTTTTCTCCCTGCAGGGTGACAGTGGTGGTCCTCTGGTCTGTTATGCACAGAATAGGTACATCCTGCAGGGTGTGACATCATGGGGTTTGGGATGTGCCAATGCCATGAAACCTGGAGTCTACGCTAGAGTTTCAAAATTTGTTGACTGGATTGATCAAACAGTAAAAGCTGGTTAACAAAATGATGATATTCACCACAGAAAATGAATGTATATCAGACCAAAAACACATTATTTCAAATAAATGGAACATTCTCTCCATGGAAAATGTATTAAAGGATTATTTTTTGAGAGAGTTAAAACAATTAAGTTTTTTTTGTTTTTTTTTGTTTCATGTTCATTCTTCTCAATTCCTCTTTTTTCCTCTGATGCTAAGTGAGGTGGCAGCAGAATTTTTGACTTTAACAAGATCTTGCCAAATAAAAAGCTTCCTGAGAAATGGCAGAAAAGTGTCCTGGTGCTGATTTTTTTAAGAACAGGAAGACACAGAATAGTGTTCATCTTAAGCAGTTCATTCACACCTTTAGTATCTCAACACTGAGGTCTTCTTCCCTGTGTTGGTCTTTGTCAGGTTTAAGTACCTAAGACACCATATAACAACACAACACAAGGAAAGAGACACAAAAGTCAGAGTTCTGTTTAAGCTCGAGGAGAATGGAATAAGGCCACACCAGCTCAGTCTCCACTAAGCTGACAGTTCCTCCAAACCATTCTGGTCTTTGGAATCCGAGCACCTCTATTTATTACAATTTGGGAGCTTCCCTAGTTACATGCCTGAAGAGCTGATCTAAAGGGAGGGGGGAAACACAGCTCTCAGTCTTAAATTGTTACAAGTTTAAAACGAAGAGCATTCATTATTACACAAAGAACTTTCAGTGTCTAATCACACGATGAGTAGCAAACAGTTGCACGAGTCAGCAATTGACAGATCAGCAGATCTCCACAGGTCATCCTTAGGTCACATTAGGTCAGATTTTAACACCCTTAAAGTCTCATGAGGGGACTTTACAATACAGCAACTGTTTAAGCATTGAAATGGTAAAATCATTTAGCATAAAACATGGTAAATGAAAACAATCTTTAATTATAATAAAAGCATAAATCATGATAAATGAAAACATGAATAATAATTCTATCATTTCCTCCCTGTTTATCATGATAAATGCCATTTTTCCTCATATCACTAGAAAATCACTTCCTTTTAGATTTTCGGTAACTAGGTAATTTTTTAACGACATCATTTACACTCAGAAGGAAAATAGCTAATACAACAGGAATGTTTTAAAACTTTATTATTAAAAAATCAAACTAAAAGACTAAATCAACTTATTAGTAAAAATCAAACTAAAAGACTAGATCAACTGGAACGCAGAGTCACGTGGCATGCCTTTATTCACTCACAGATCAGAACCAAACAGCATCTCAACATGATACTTCTGGGCTTTGTCCTCTTCTCCCAGGTCTTCGGGGTCTGGTACGACGAACAGGGGAAACACCTGCGCCACAGGAAACTCCTGTGCCATCAGTCCAGATGACGGGGCAATGGCTACGTTAATTAGTCTCGTTATCAACGCTCAAATGCATGGAATGCAGCAACACCCATACAGAGTCAGAAAGTCTGCGAACACAGCTAGGGACACCAACACTGAAGACACCAGTGTGCGATACTTTCCAAACATGTCAAACATTGAGTCCCACATGGACATATCCACGCCGGAGTGTTCTTTCATTTTACCATTCAGAGTTCGGAGTCCTTCCAGAGACACAGTGAGACTGCCATCTGCCGCGGTGTTGTTCGGGACGAAGGAGCAACATTCTTCGCCAAAAATTATGCAGACTCCGCCTTTTTCGGCCAGGATCATGTCGAGAGCAATTCGGTTCTGAAAGGCCATGAGAGAAGTTGTTGCCAGCTGTCCATGTACAGCCTCGAATCCACTCTGCGTCCAGTTGCCGAGTCTCTGCACACTGAAGTGGATATAATTAATTCGATCAACATTTTTATTAATTGTACACCACCAATACAAAGAAGATTCAAATCCTGCAGCTACATGATCAACTAATTTATACTCATCAGGGACCCCTCGTGGAACACCAATAGCATCGATGTAGGTTGGGTCAGTCAGTCCTTGCCAGGTTACATCACGTTTGGTTCGATGCTTCCATTGTCCAGGGATTACACTAGAGAGTCTCTCAACTAATTCTTGTGCTGATGTAGGATACACAGATACAGGTAACAGCGGTGATACCAAAGCACAAGTTCCAGTCACATTCATAGGTAATTTGTCAAACAGTCTGTTGTCTCCACACCACCACCAGATGTCAGCACGTGGTACAGGTTTAAATGGTACAGAAACTTTCACAACCTTAGAACACCATGACTTATTCAGTCTGCCCCATTTTGGGCCTTTACCAGTAATATTTACACATGTGAATTGAAATTTTGCTACTTTAGAGGAGAAACAGGGCTTCCTTCTGTTTGGCCCAGTCACAGGATAAATCTCATCCCAAAATGAACAATTTTTTGTAGGATTTGTGCTAGTCATTACTGGGAGCATGCAAGTTGGATCTAAATTTGCTGGAGCTATTTGTAACAGAGGCCTAGACCCCATACAGAAAACACAGCTTTGTTTAGCAGCACTAGCAGCTTGCTCTACCATTAACAACCAGTTATTACCAAAACCAGAAATCCCAGTGGTTACCTGGAACCACTCGTCTGCCGTGGGGTTTCCATTTATTAAAGATACAGTTGAAATAGAACCAGTTCTAGGTCCATGTGTCAGCACACCCATCTTGTTTACAGGCTTGGGGGGTGAGGATGACATGCGTGCAGAAGTTGTTGTAAAATTTGGGGACAGACCAAAGCGTGTGCAGGGATCAACAGCATTTGGACGCCATACACAAAGAGTAAAAGCATGACATGGAGGGTCGTGGGTAGCTGACCAGCGTTTTGTTGGGGGTTCTATGGGATAAACTGTTGTGTTAAGATGAATTATTATTTGACGACTGGTAAGAACCATGGACATTCTTTTTGACCATTTCTGAGCTCTTTCTGTGTAACCATAGGATCCTCTAGCCCATGAGCCAGTGGTAGCAAACACCTTGCCCCAATTTGGCCCATGAGTTTTGGGTCCTCCTGAGCTGTCCAAGTACCAGTCATATCCCTCCCAGATGTTCCCTTTGTAGCCTCCCACAGTTATGTCAGCCAGGTTGAATATAACCTTGGCATCTGTACGGGTCCCATTGTAACAAAAATATGGATCAGGAGAGTACCCTTGGCCCTTTTCCCTACAGGGGTTTGAGAAATTGGATAGCAGTGGGGTTTGTTTTTCAGAATTTGCATAATAGTAAGACACTGGGGTGTAAAATGAGTCAGCTATTCCCACAAACAGGATAAGTAGTATCAGCAGCATCCTTAAGTGTCAGTTTGTTTTATCGCCACACATTTACAATGACTTAAATGAATCCAAGTTGGTCGTTCTGCTATTTTACATGCAGTGGGAGTGATCAGCAAAACCTGAGATGGCCCTTCCCACTTAGGAGAATGCCTGTGTTTCCTTCTGATGCTTTTAATCAGAACCCAGTCTCCTGGCTCCACTAAATTGATTTTCTGTGGAGACACAGATGAGGAGGTTCATCAGTATTCTGGTCTTTTTGTTTTTCAAACATTTTTCTCATGTAATCAGCTAATGTAGCTTCTTCTGGAATTTCCCATATATTATTAAAATGTGGTAATCTGTAAGCTCTTCCAAACAACATCTCATATGGTGTAAGACCTGTAGAGTTAGTGATGTTACAATATAAATTTACCAAGTCTAAGCATTTAGTCCATGGTCTTCCTGTTTCTTCCATATACTTCTTAAGTCTATTTTTATGGCACCGTTCCGCCTCTCTATAAGGCCAGCACTCTCAGGATGGTATGAACAATCGTTTTTTAGATTTATTTGGAAACAGTCACCTATTTTTGTGATTACTTGATTTACAAAATGTGTTCCATTGTCACTGTATATTTTTTCAGGAATGCCATAGCGCGGTATTATGTCTTTACATAATGCTTTGGCTACTGTAATAGCATCAGGATGTTTTGTTGGAAAGAGTTCTACCATTTGATAAAAGCATCAACTATTACAAGGCAATATTTATAGCCCTCACTTTGTTTAAGTTCAATAAAATCCATATGGATGTTTTGAAATGGATACACAGGTGTTGGAAATTTGTCTCGTTTAGGTCTCAAGTTTCCTTGTGGATTGTGTTTTGCGCATATTAAACATGCTCTACAAAATTTTTTAGAATAGTTATTAAAGCCATAGGTTGTATATTACTTTTCTACCTGTTCTGTCATCCCCCCTGTTGAGACATGTGTGACACCATGACTCAATACTGCTGCCCACTTATAGAAACTTTTTGGTAGGATGGGTTTTCCTTCTGGTCATTTGTAGAAGCCGTCTATGTTTGTTGCGCCTTTTTTAATCCAAAGTTGTTTTTCTGATTCAGGACTTTGGTTTTGCATGTCTGCCAGGATTTCTCCTGTCACGTCTGTGTCTGCATTTAGATGCAGAATGTTAGAAGCAGAAGCAGCCGCTTCTTTTGAAGTTTTGTCAGCAAATGTATTCCCTAATGAAACTGGGTTTCATTATATTCGTTGTGGATTATATATTCTACTTTAATTCAACTTGAACAAGTAAACAACAAAAGCAATTTCATAGTTCCTCTAAAACAGCTTAACTCAGGCTCACTGGACCTTCTACAGTACACTCTGAATAACTAGCTGAAATGATTCGAACCAACTAATTTTAAAATTATAGATGACCATCAATAAAAAAATGCACGCTCAGATACAGACATTGATTTGAATCAAATTTAGTTTTAAACAGGAAAAGCATTATTGTATTTGGATTTCACAGCGAATGTTTAAACTACTCAAACAAATAACATACAAATCAAACATAAATAAAAATCAAGTTGGTAAAAAGGTTTCTGAAAAATTTAGTAAGTGTTTGATCACAAAACTGATAAATTTAAATTTCAAATTGCATGCTGTAGGCGCCTAATTGAATGTTTTTGTTTATTAGCCATGGCGCTGAAGAACAGCTGTTTCCGTCAATCAAAGCCGTCTGAAGACATTTGATGCTGCATTTTGATGCATGTGATAAAGCAACAATGAGTGAAACGAAAGAAATGGAATGTGAATTGAAAGAAAAAAGATCTGCTAAACCCACGGCAAAAGTGCTCGCCTGTAAAATGGAAAATTTGCAGAAAGAACAACAATTCCAGGTGAATAAAATTAAAGGGTAATCCCGCGAAATTAAAGAATTAATGAGGAACAATGATAACGCAAAAGATGTACAAACCAACTTGGAAAGATTGAATACATTGTATGATAACGCAAAAACAGCTAATGATTCATTTATGTTATTACCGTAAATCCTCTAATACAGGCCAGGGCCTGTAT